AGACACCTATTTGTCTCCTATAAGACCAATAAATATGTATTATTACGCATTGGCAACAGCTATTTGTGCGTATAGGTACCAATAGCTTCAGATAGGCGAGACGGATTTGCCGTCTATAGAACCAATAAATAGCAGCTATTTGTCATTTATAAAACCAGCAGCTGTGAATTGCCACCAGAATCAAATAATTGTGGTGTTACATGCATGCGTATTAAATGGTCATCCACATGTACATCACTTAGTAGTGAATCTAATGGAAAGGGAGTTTTTGATTGGCTCAATATGTGAGCAAAGTGACAGCTAGCTGTTATTTTCATATGTGGTGTTTTAAAAATATTGCACCCACATTTTTTCCATAAGTGTCCCCAATATATTTTCGCACCTGTGAATTTGAGTAATCTCACAATGTAATCAACATTATGATTATTACACTTGTGGGATAAGACAGCAGAAATTAAGGTTTAACTTACCATAAGAGTAGAAAAAAGAGCGTCGCTGTAGCTAATATGTTTCAGCAAGGAAACTCGATCTTCATGTAAAGGCAGCAGCGTACTGCTTACTTTCAAAGAGCATGCAAACGGGGGAGGAGAGGGAATAGGCTAATAACAAAATGAGCGAAGCCGAAGTGTACAGTATAAACTTAATTGTCCTCCATGTACAGTGTACTCCATGCACCTGGCCAAGCTCTACAAACATGATGACCACTACGTCTTATGCATGGAGAAATGGTCTTATGTGTTCTTTTATGTGACACGGCACAGTGCTAGGGAATAAAACAGAAACTGACCTCCTTCAGTTACAAATGTTCTGGTATTCTAGTTCCCTGTATTTCAGCACACGGTCTGCCAGAATAAATGACAACTTGAACATTTCGAACTGGTGCGCTGCTTAGTCTAATCATCGCAGCACCTTAAACCCGTATTCGCAAACCAACCTTGGCCCTACCTCACGTTTTCCTCAGGTTCCTGTACTCACTACGTGCATTATATGGGCATAGAAATGCTAACAGGGTTAAAGATAACAAGATTGGTTCATGCATACTGGCCTACTTTGTTCATCAAGTGCAATAAAGGCTTAAAAACAATAAGGAAAACCTGAAGTAAGGTTTAGGTTGGTTTCTGAAGGGCTTTAAGGACACCAAAAGAACTCTGGATGTGAACAGTTTCAGCGCGTTTTACCTAGCAGAGTGCGCTCCAACCTTAAGGAAAAAGAAAGAAAAAAAAGCGACTTCAGAGCTTCTACTCCATATAATATGAAACCCCAGGCTCTAAAAGCCTTACCCTTGAAAACATGACCTCCGAGATTTGCACGCGCCAAAGGTGATCTTGCACACACGGAAGGTGTTACGTGGTGACACGATGAGAGAGAAAACGCTTTGCAGAGTACTCCTACGGTGTACTATCACAGAATGCTTGCAGACGTGTGGCGCGAGCTGGTGCAGCTGACCGTGTAGGGCACTCGCACCACGGCCTGACCAGAGTAGAGTTACTGTATATGCTACCTAAAGGCAGGTAGCATATACAGAAACTCTAGACCAAAGAGAACGCGCGCGCACGCAAGTCCAGCCGTGCTCGCACAAAGTGGCGTTTGCGACAGTGGAACCTAGGCATCTTAGTCCAACCCAGCTAACTTGCTAAACAACGGGAGTTAGTTTGATATAGCGCAGAGTTCAATATAAACATTTCAGAGAATTTACTGTAGTCTAGATGAGACTTTCGGTGCGCAAGTTGGCTTCCCGGCACTTTTTCACGATAATACAAGAAAAAAAGGCAATAAACAGGAAAGTTATTAATTATGGTTTGTTGTTGGGGGCACAGTTAGAGCCATAGTAAAGAATCACATAGACACCAAAAATGCAGAACTACAAAGCAGTTTTGTTTTTACACACATTGCAAACACATATCCGAAGGAGTCTGCAACACATATGCAATTGTCCAAATAAGGCTTTTGTAGCAACATTTTGCAACATTTATCATTGCAGAAACTGAGAACAAATATAGCACTGCTGTATGTATAACTTAATTTCATATTAAAGGTGAGAAGGGTGTATTTGCATTTAATAATGTTCACTTAAGGTAGTATAATTAGATTAGGTTTCAAGCAATATTACTTAAACTGCTAATAATGTGTTATGAAATTAAATATTTAATCTCATACATTATACACCACCACATAAGTCAGTAAAACATTTTCCTCAACCACACTCGGTCACTAATATGTTACTAAACAGGTCTAGCACGCTGACTCGCGCGTCCGTCAGTGTAAAATGAGCTTTTAAAACACCAGCAGTATGCCACAATCGGTGCTCCACAATATTGCTGCATATTTAATTGGATGTATTCGTATTTCACCTGTTAAGACTCTTAAGAATGCTCAGCGCCGATTGCAATGCATTGTTCGAGAAACCGAATTCGCATTTGTTCAAGATCATTGTTTGGTTAAGGCTCAGATGTTCTATGCTGCATGCATAAACGTCTATTATGCACACTGTAGATCAGTTGGCTGATGCTCTGCTCGATGTTTCATTTTTTTTGGGCACAGGTTTGCCCAAATAAAAAACTGCCAGGCCTGCACAGCATAGACACAGTGCAAGCTGGAAGAGTGACCTACTGCACCATAAATCATAATTTTTGTGTAGTAAGAAAGAGTACACTATCCCATTATTTGCCATTTTTTTGTAGAAGCACAGTACGTGCTACACATTTATAAGGCATTGCGTACTTTGTTGATTCTCTGGCTGAAAACGAAGAATTTCGCTTAGGCTTCTCCGTAATGGGTTGAAGCTTCCACCAACTCACTTGTTATGCTATTCACAATGTGCGACACCTGGTAGTTACTTTACTGCTCTAAAACCCTTTATCACAGGTTAACAAGATCCCTTTCCTGGTATGAAACCTGCATAGGGTCGGTTTGCGACGAAGTTTCAAGCACCCGCGTAGCTCAGTGGTAGAATATTAGCCTGCCACGCAGAGGACTTGGCTTCGAATCCCATTCTATCCTTAGTACTTTTATTTAGTTTTTTCTTATTTCTCACCATAGTGGTTATAAACTTTTAGGCAGTGGCAGACTACAGCACAAAAATCGGCCCTTGTTGTGATAAAAGTGGTCTCGAACAGGCAGACAGTGCTTGTACACAAGTAAAACTGGCAGCATAAATATTTGTATAAGATATGACAAGTTAATGTCATGACCACATGGAAATACACTCCATGGCAATACATCTAAAGTTAGAGCTGAAATTTGGGCTAGTTCATTTTGACTTGAATACATACTGTAGCAAAACAAAAGGGCAAAAAAAGATGCACACACAAGTTTATTTACATACACAGGGAGGTACACAGGCGCACTAAGTGCACCCTCAATTGTCCTCACAAAAAAAATTGGGGGACCCTTAAGCATCACCTTCAAAAGTTGAACGCATTGATTGATTGATATGTGGGGTTTAACATCCCAAAAACAACATATGATTATGAGAGACGCCGTAGTGGAGGGCTCTGAAGAGTTGAACGCAATAACGATATTCTGTTCCCAGTGCATACTTCAAACACTTAGTGAATAGTACTTTTCATTGCATGATGTTACTCAAGAAGTTTACAATGTGGATTACTAGGATATAATCAATAAAGCTGAAAGTGGCTTGTGTCAGTGAAGCTTTCGCATATGGGCTGCATTTTATGTAATGGGTAGAGTACGTTTAACCGCAAGCAATTATTCACACGAATTTCTTCGAACTTGCTATACACCCACTATGCGGTCTCGAGGGAATTCATGCAGTGCCTTTTGTAATAGGTGGCCGACTTTAAACCGCAAAGCTATGATAATCACATGTTCCGATGCCTGATGGCAATGCAGACTTGTACCACACAATAATACTGTGATATTACACATACTGTGAAGCTTCTATACAGGATGCGCATGTTTGTAAGGCTAAGAGCTTCTCAAGCTCCCTATAGCAGCTCTTTTTTGCCCCTGCTATTGTGTAACAATGTTTACAATGAAAACAAAAAGAATTAGCATGAACTTTATTTTCACTGCAGTTCCAAGCAGAGGAAGTTCTTTTCACCGCATTTTCAGGCAGACGCGTGACTGTGTGATAGAACACCTGCTTGCCACACAAAAGCGCTGGGTTCTATCCTCACTTCGACATGAAATCTTTTGTTATTTCCATCTTGATTTTCCGCTCACAACCGATGCCACCACCACAATTTTTTGCAAAATGAGCTCTTAAACACTATCGTATAAAAAAAATCAGCTTCTTGAAAGGAGCATGCACAAGTATAGCTTGATTTGACAACATAATGGTGACGATACAATAAGTTTATACATTTAGTTATCATTTTGTGTAACGAGTTTGGAGTCAAATTATCAGTTGAAAGTCTAGTGGTTGTAGTGTTCGGATATTTCTGCAGCCTTGTTTTGTTTCACTATAATATGTATACAGTACACCTATTGATCTTGTCATCATCATCATCAGCCTGACTAAGACTACTGCAGGACAAAGGCCTGTCCCATGTTCCGCCAGTCCACTCGGTATTGATCTTGTACCTTTAAACAAATAGTTAGCACTGGTTTCAATCAGATAAGAGCTTTTTATGAAATGCGCGACTCACACAAGATTTTGTAATAACTTCCCTCGGAAGAGTTTGGGGTGAGAGGTTATGACACTACCCCAACACAGGCCTCCGATGAATAAATATTGAAATGGTCCATCATAAACGCTAGCGCGTTCAGACATGCGTGAAAAAACTCAAGTACAACCGTAAGCTGATATATGGCTGACAGTAATGCTGAAGATGAGACCATAGGACCATATGGTACTCAGCTAGACTCACTCACTCATACTTAGCACCTGTTCAGAGAGTTTGCAGACCTATGGCAGCCACCACTGTGCCCACAGACTTAAACCTACACAGTACATGTATATAAATGAAGTTGGTAGTATAAAAGTGTGCACACACATTTAAAAATGAAATATGAAAACAAAAACACAGACAGAACAATTACAGACATCTATGGGACGACAAGTCCTGCAGATGATGGGACACAATTTTTATTATTTTTTTTGTGATGGCCATAAGTCGAGAGAAAAAAAAAAGAGAAGAGGAGAGGCAGAGTCAAGCAGGTGTTATGGCTACTGTTTGTCCTCGCTCTATTTGCCCTTGTTTTGGCCATCCTTGTCCTTCTTGGCCGTGTCTCCCTGGGTGAGCTCTCCCAGTGCATTGCGGACAGTCTCGCTCTGGGGGTCCACACCAGGGAGGTTTTCAAGGACATACAGCAGGAAGGCGGGGTCCCGAATCATCTCGTAGTCTTCGGACTCTGCCTCATCCTGCACAACGGCCGTCACTGAAGCTTCAATGGGTTGAAGAGCACAGCTCAGGGGCAGGCAGAGTATTCGCCACCAACCCATTAGGTGTGGCCTACCTTCTTGAGCTCTTCGGATTCGTCCGTCTCCATGGGCTCCTCCTTGACAACTACTGCAGGTGCTGCCCTTGTAGAAGGACCGTCAGGCTCTGTAACATCAGCCAAGGTGTCGTTTGTTTAGCAGTTATCAATAGTACAGGAGTGAATACAGTATAGTAGTTTGAAGCGACGTTGGAGAAAGAAATGTTGGAGAAAATTTCTAACAATATTCGTATCAGATAGCACTGTGAAGGCGTTTCTTTTGTCTAAGTTGATGAAGCACTGGTGGGGTGGTGTTTCAAAGTTGTCTTATCAAGAACGAGACAATGCAGAGGCTGAATTGTATTTATGTAATAATTGTAATAATTTGGTGAAACCAAAGTGTTGCTGACAACACTTTACATGTGAAAGGCTAGGATGCCATTTTCTCAGCCTCTCCTCCTTTTTCAACTTCTGTGAAAGCCCAATTGATATGGCAGGACAAGGCTGTGCTCCTTTCAAATCCGATGTTCCAAATCTGCCTCGTAGACGTCAATCTATAAGAATGTCTTAAATTTTGGATGATAAAAATCTTGGGCGTCCCATTTTTCCGATTTCTTGCCCTAATTTCAGGTCCAAAACAGCATTACCTGAGCCCCCACCTCTGTCTCATCAGTCATCTCTATGTTGTAACCAGAATTTTCTTGGGTCAACAAATTTGCAACCATAGCAGAGCCTGGCAGCTGTGCTGCAATAGGAGAGTGTGATGAGGTCAAGCATACTTAAAATTTGAAGGGGCCACTTCCAATCGAACTTAGACTGAATTTGTCTTTGAGAAGTTCGACCGACCAGTAGCAGAGCCCAAACTGCAGCTTTGTCTCAATACGAGGCTGTGATGAGATGAAGCATACTGAAAACCTGAATGGGTCACTAAGTTAGACGTTGACTTATATGTCTTTAGGAAGTTCGAATAGTAAACATTTCCAGAGCGATCAAATCAAACAGCAAACACTAACAGAAAAATGTTCGAAATTTCGAATATTCGCACACCTTCAGTTTAGGCATTTCTGAGACTGTTAACGACTCGGTAAAACTTTTCTGATAGTGGCAAAAATTATAAGATCGTTCAACACAACTGTGCTAACGAGCATGATTTTATCCTACACAAAAGGAATTATGATTTTAATTTGACAATGAAAGTTGACAGAGAATAACTGCTAGCGTCACTTAACAATGATGTGGTTTATTTAATCTACAGGCAAGAGAAGAAATCATCAGAGGTACACTCACTTTGCTTAAAAACAAACATATATAACTTGAAACTTTATTTTATGCACTTGAGGCAGGTGTAGGTTGTGCCAAAGTATTTTTTTTTTCCTTTTTTCCACCCCTCTCACGCATTCAAGAAGGCGCCTGGTGGTGCTGCGTTCGCCTGCACCCGGCGCCACTCACACACACACGCGCACACACACACACACACACACACACACACACACACACACACACACACACACACACACGAGAGTCTTCGGCAAATAGCAGCGCGACTGATTTCAGGAAATTTTCGAACCATTCCTGCTAGTCCAACGTAATACAGTCAAGTCCACATGCGTAAAAAGCACATTAGTCAACGACACCAATATACACCGAGGTTCTACATAGAAAAATATTTTGCCATTACACTCCGCTTCACCAAGGCGTGCATGCTGGAGCAAGACTGATCTGGGTGAATTGGTTCGTAGCAATAGGAAGGTAGAGAGTGACAGACAATAGAAGTGCTTGCTAATGTTCTTCGCCCACTGTTTCAGTTGCACTTCACTGTCCATGTTGGCACATTAGCATAAGCAATGCAGAACACCTACACACAGCTGAAAGACAGCTGGGACCTAAAATTTTTTTTGTGAAGCACGTTCTATGTTTGTATTAGTAGCACGTTTGGCATGAGTGGCACCGCTACAGTTTGTTTAACAACGCCGGCATACCAGTGTTGCTGGAACAGATGAACTTTCCTGCTTGACTGCGATGGTTTTCCAGGCCGACTAAACGAAGCTAGAGAAACTGTGGTAATAGTATTTTATACTAGAAGTTAAAGGCGCAAACACGACACGGATAGAGAGACAATACACACACACAAGGAGTGGCACTTCCAACAAAGATTAAAAATTTATTTAGAAAGAGCACAGAACCACACCTTAATGCCCAGTTGCATTCAAGTAGCGTAACTCTTTTGGCGATATTGAAATGGAGGCTACGCAGACACATAGATCACCTAATTCTATTATTCTCTTGGCCTCAATGATTAGGAACACAATGACAATCCCAGAAGTGAATTGCGAGGTGGCCTTCTCTGCCATTTATGACGTTGTTATTATACTGCCTTAGCTTGTCATTCAGGCATGACTCGGTATGGCCTACCTAACTTATACCACACAACAAGGATAACTCGTAGACCACATGCGTCTGACAGCTTACATACTTGTTCTTGTGGTTCACATTGCAGGCTGGAGCTTTCCTGAGAAAAGGGTTAGTCATCTTGCAGAGACTGGAAAGCTTTAACAAGACAGAGAAGACCATCGTTACATCAACATGTTTGGCTATATTTTTCAAATTATGGGATATGCGGTGTACATAAGGAATCAAAGCAAACTCGTACTGTGACCTCCCATTGCACAAGGAAAGTGGATTCGCCGTCTCCCTACGGTACCTTCACAAATAGAAAGCGCTTCAAGCGATCTGTCTTTCCATGCCGCGTAAATGTCCAGATCAAAAACTAAAAAGGGAAGCTAAAAAGCTCGGTGAGAATATGAACCTACCAAAGTTCGTTAGGGACATCACAAACAGCAAATCAGGCACTCTCAAGTTCTTCAGTGCAAAGACTCACAAGGAGAGTTGCCCCCTCAGAGTCATTGTGTCAGAACTTGACACTTGGCAGAAATGCCTTGTCTTCCTGCACGATTGGTGATCCCTATCAGGTCAAAGATTTCAGTGAAGTAGTAACTTTCTTTCCGGGCAAGCAGGGATAGTTCTGTATGCTTTTTCGATTGAACAGAAAGACTTGTATTGCTCCAAGCTGAAAAATTCGTTCCTTCAGTGCACCCAGGACAGCACAGACCAATCCACCCCCTGTCATTTCAAAACGATGCAGGTATACCAGTAGGAAAATTCATGGCAACACTAGAGTTGTATTTGAGTTCGACTTAGAGTGGGACGGTAGCCTATAGGGAGCTTGCATGAACTGGCGGCGACGCTATGCACTCAGGGAGTGCATCAGTGCAGTCGTGTTTGCGAGCGTTGGCGTAGCTTGCAGGCGTGATCGAGAGCGAGCACGATGCAAATTTAACTCCAAGAAATGTCTTGCACGATGTCAGCCTCACCGGAAGACTATATCACAACGCTGTGCCAGAAAGACCTCGAGCGTTACAATGCGACGAGAAGTCGCTCTGAGTGGGTCGATTCTCGCTTCGTGCGGGCAACAGTGCAAGCGACATGGACTTGTGGCCGCGCGTCGACAGCTTCAATATTCATGGATTTCTTGTTCCGAAGATGAGTTTGATTACCCGGGAGCTGTTGAAGTTGATAAAGGCCTTCGAAGGTCACAAGTTCTGACGAGTGGCTGGTTGTGGGAGCCGTACCTGGGTGATGAAATTCACCGCCGATACCGTGGCCATCGTCACTCAAGTCATCATCATCATCATCATCATCATCAGCCTGACTACGTCTACCGCAGGACAAAGGCCTCTCCCATGTTCCGCCAGTTAAATCGGTCCTGTGCTTGCTGCTGCCAATTTGTACCCGCAAACTTCTTAATCTCATCTGACCACCTAACCTTCTGCTTCCCCCTAACCCGCTTGCCTTCTCTGGGAATCCAGTCAGTTACCCTTAATGACCAACGGTTATCCTGTCTACGCGCTACATTTCCGGTCCATGTCTATTTCCTCTTCTTGATCTCAACTATCATATCCTTAACCCCGTTTGTTCCCTAATCCACTCTGCTCTCTTCTCATCTCTTAAGGTTACACCTACCCTTTTTCTTTCCATTGCTCACTGCGTCGTCCTCAATTTAAGCTGAACCCTCTTTGTAAGTCTCCAGGTTTCTGCTCCGTAGCTAAGTACCGACACGATACAGCTGTTATATACCTTCCTCTTTAGGGATAGTGGCAATCTACCTGTCATAATTTGAGAGTGCTAGCCAAATGTGGTCCACCCCACTTTAATTCTTCTAGTTACTTCCATCTCATGGTTCGGCTTCGCGGTTATTACCTGCCCTAAGTATACATAGTTTTTTACAACTTGAAGTGCACTATTACCTATCTTGTAGCGCTGCTCTCTTCCGAGGTTGTTGTACATTACTTTCGTTTTCTGCAGATTAATTTTAAGACTCACCTTTCTGCTCTCCTTGTATAACTCCGTAATCATCAGTTGCAATTCGTCCCCTGAGTTGCTCAGCCATGCAATTTCATCGGCGAAGGCAGGTTACTAAGGTACTCTCCATTCCCTAACTGTTCCCATTCTAGGCTTCTGAAAACCTCCTGTAAGCATGCGTTTAATAGCATTGGAATGATTGTGTCCCCCTGCCTAACACCCTTCTTGATTGGTATTCTGTTCCTTTCTTAATGAAGCACTATGATAGCACTTGACCCCCTGTATACTTCTTCTAGGATGTTTAAATATGCTTCATCGACGCCCTGATTTCGCAGTGTCTGCATGACTGCTGATATTTCTACTGAATCAAACGCCTTCTCGTTATCAATGAAGGCTATGTATAGTGGTTGGCTATATTCTGAGCATTTCTCTATTACGTGTTCGAAATCCTGCTTGTTCCTTTGGTTGATTGAATTCTAATTTTTTCTTTACTCTGTTAGCAATTACCTTTGATTGATATATGGGGTTTAACGTCCCAAAACCACCATATGATTATGAGAGACGCCGTAGTGGAGAACTCCGGAAATTTTGACCACCTGGGGTTTTTTAACGTGCGCCCAAATCTGAGCACACGGGCCTACAACATTCCCGCCTCCATCGGAAATGCAGCCGCCGCAGCCGGGATTCGATCCCGCGACCTGCGGGTCAGCAGCCGAGCACCTTAGCCACTAGACCACCGCGGCGGGGCAGCAATTACCTTTGTAAATAG